ACCACCAGTAGCACGTTTACGAGCATTATAAACAAGGTATTTAGTAACTTCGCCTAAAGCTCTTCCCTCTGTACGGACTACAAAATGATTAATTAATTAATACCCCAATGTTTGATTAAACATTTTTACTGAGTAACTGTTAATAAATACATACAATAGACTATAACACCAGAGCCTCCATTTTGAGCTTCTTTAACACATTCCTCCATACCATAAATCAAGTAAGGTCTACAAGTACAAATGTCTGACCCAAATACATCAGATCCATTACATTCATCATGAACACGAACAGTTAATCTTTTTGTTACATCATGGACATTATTCGGATTTCCAAAAATATAAACAGTTAAGCCACCAATTGGAGGCAAAAAGACCTTAAGATCTGGTCTGGTAATTAATTCTGGATACATTCCACCTGTTTCTTCAAACAACGCACGACGTAAAATTCCCTCCTCGATATTAAATCTTTTAGCAATACAATCTTTCCGTCAACTTTACGCTTACCGGATTTTACGGCGTTTTCAATTTCAGCCAACTTCATATGTGCTTTAGTTATTGCAATTGTGGGACGAATGTCAAGACCTTGATTTATTAGTTCAGAAAACATTGAAGTGGTAAGATGGCCGAATGGATCTAACGAGACGATCTTTTCAGGGATTCCCCATTGTTGATAAGGTCCTATGGTTACCGTAGGTTCAGTATTTTGAAAGTTTGGACGATGGTTAGGATCAAGTGCACCCATAGCGATAGTTAAAGCACGATAGACACAGTATGAGCCTCCGTATGCTCCAATAGAATTACTTTATATAATTTATTTATTTTTCAAGAAAAATATTATCATCATGTTCAATTATAGTTATTACTCTAAAAGAAAAATGAAAATATTACAAACGGTAAATAAATAAATAAAAGAAAGAAAAGCATGTTCTTTAGATCATTGATTGTTCTTATATACAATACTTGTTAGTATTACTCTGTCATTATATATTGTTGCTTTCGGAGCTATTATTGTTGATGAGATATTATTACTAGATTTTTCAAATAATATAATCATTCATATTAGAAATGTGTATATATTATATATAATATTTTTTTTTTTATGTGTTTTAATATTTTTTTAAATTTCTTCGTACATAAATTTATTTATTTTTTTTTTTTCTTATTTAAAAAATTTTTTTTTCACTTTTTTAAAAAATTTAACAAATAAATCAAAAAAAAACATTTTAAAAATTCATTGAAATACTTAATATTATTGCGTGTTAAAAAAATATCAATGTTGGATTCGACCGCCTCATCATGGTAAAAAGAGATACTTCCTCATGATTTTGGATTGTAAAGCTATTTCATTATATTAATATATTTTGCCATTGATTAAAGTCCCTGTTTTATCTTCTTCACAGAACCCAAAATTCTTCAACTACAAAATAGAAGTTTCAGTAGTGAACTTTGAGTTAGTTTAGTTAGTTTACTATCTATTACTGGTCAAATCGAACGTTTATTCGAATATTCGTTTGCTTTTTTAGTAAAGATTTTCGGTAGCTATCGATTTTTTAGGACCTTGGACAATTATAATTGAACTGGTATTAACAAAAGTGGGTAGTCAGATTTTCAAGATTTTTAAAAAAAGGAAACTAACTCACTAACCATTTTAGTAATATACAGTCAACCCCTAAATGCACCCCCATAAATGCACACCCTCTCTAAATGCATGCTTTCACTCATTCCCAAGCTCAGGACTTTAAGAGATAAGTGCACCTACACTGCACGGTCTTTTTTCATATAAAACCACCCTTCCTAAGTGCACTCCCGTGACTTTCACGTGATCTTATGCATTGTTAATAGTGTAA